AACCCCCCCCCCCCCCATCTCGAGTATCCAATGATTTTCTTTTTCTTCCTTTTTAGGAACGAAAACAACAATTTTATTACCCTTTTTTAAAAAATTAATATTGCTTTCAGAAATGCAATCTAGCTCTTGGATTCCTCTGCAAAGGCGCTTTTTCATTTGCATTAGCTTTTTTTTTTTTTGGTTTACTACATTACACTGAACCAAAATTAAAAATAAGCAAAACGACCGTTAAAAAAAAAGGGAAATTGTATTTTATGAATGACGCATAAAATGGCGTCATGATGACGAAGCTGATTAAATCTGACCCGTCAGTTCTACCAACGGCTACGATTAAAATTTGCGAGTGGGTTCCACTGTTTATGAGCATATCTGATTATAACCACCATGTTTTGTTTTATCGTAATGTATTTTTTATTAGAGGAAAAGCCCAATAAATATTTAGACGACAGAAGCCAAAGTCAGCGTGGAAAAAAAATAATATGAATGATGACTTTAATCAAATTTGCGCAAATCTTCTAAAAGATAAAGTTTTTTATATATTCTCATTATTCAACCTTTTTGTATTGTCTTTTGGGATTACAATTATTAAGCTTTTGCTTCTCTGATTGGCAATAGAGACAACCATATCCCGATCTTAACCTTTTCCATGAATTATCTATAGTTTTTTATTTTTAATGTAATATAGCAACAACGCTACAGATTTGTCTCTTTGGTTACAAGTTTTCCATATCATTGTATATCTTCATTTTCATAATTTCTTACTGTCGATTTTTTTAAGTCTTATATATATATATATATGTATGTATGTGAAAAACTCTATAAACACACCAGAGATTCGTGTGTGAACTTGAAGATTGAGACCATATATCTGACCAAAATACATAACACTGTCGGCCGGGTTGCGAAATATCATCGGCGGTATACTCGTATATTTGTACATATACGATGATTGATGAAATGAGTAGCTAACGTACAAATACGTTCGCGTGTAAATAAAAGAAGTAGCAAAAATATTTTTTTTTTCTTAACGAGCTGGGGTTTGGAAACGCATGGATATTCGTCGTTCCCAAATCCCGAATGCCCCGAAAGCCGTGAGAAGAATAATAATCCCTATGATCAAAACAGTCTATTACGATTTACGAACGAAATCTATCTTCAAAATCTTAACATATATACAAAAGTTATCATAATAATAATTATAATATTTATATATATATATACACACGTAAGTATGCGTGTGTGTATGGAGGGGTGGCGACACGATCACCTGTAAGAACGGCCAATTTGTCCCCTCAAACTCGTAACATTCAAAATCCACTCGTCAAGTATTGTTCTGTGAACTCTACAATACGTTGATATATGTATATATATATATATATATATATCGTATTTTTTTTAAAATGCCAACAAATTTGAACAAAAATAACTGCGGAATGTATTTTACGTGTTGTGGATATTCATATGAAAAACGAAAAAGGGATGGCCGAAGAAAAGCAAAGAAGTTAACAAAATGGAAAAAAAAAATGAAATTTCAAAAGGTCAAAAGTTAAAGGTCTCTTTAACAAAAAAAAACCCAATTGCATGCGCCTTGACATTCCCAGTGACAGATGACACATGACACATGACACATGACAAATGATATGATATGATATGTCTCCTTCGACTCTCTCGTCCTCCTTGCATCCTCACACCACAAATTACTGTCTTAAAATGATTCCAAAAAGTCAGTTATTATAACATGAATATTTATATTCGAAGATTCTGATAAAAGTTTATTGGCAAGTGAACTCGTATAATCTAGTACGTATATATATATATATATATATATATGCATGTGCATAAATAACAACAACGCGTATGATATATAGCTTTTGCTTTTGAGAAATTAGACATACAAAAAAAAAGGCGCACGGCACTCTAGGCGAAGACTCGTCTCGTCCACCTAAACTCCACTACGTTTATCATATCCCCCGTAATTAATGTGAATTTTGATCCTTGATTAATGACCGCCGATAAGCAATCCTCAACCTTATAGGGGTAGACATTAAAAGTTGCGTAACGAAATATAACCTTGAATAATTCTTTCCAAAAATTTAAGAAATTCGATATTAATTTGCTACATTATGCCATAACCTTGAATAATTAATGTCCACGTATGTATGTGTGTATTTTGATAAACAATTAGGTGGTTAGAATTCTCAAAGCAAACGTACGCAAACGGGGAAAGAAAAGGGAAAAAGCTCCAAGAGGCTCGGAGACCGAGGGAGTGGGATTGCATTTCAAGTCGCATTCCCCCACAAACATGCTCTCTGCTTTCACACCTTCTCGTTAGACCCCAGTATTTTTCTAAACCTTCACTTCTGCCCCCAATGTTTATCGAAACTCCATATAACACCCCATCACATACATTTACATTATTATAAAATCTTAAAAAATAATTAAAAAAAAGGGCTGGGTTTAACCCTTTATATAATACCCACCCATCATCATCTCATAATCTTTCATCCTCACTTCCATCACCCTTTTCTATTCCCACCTGATATAATCCAAAGTGAGTGATTACGAGAGGAGCTGGGGCATGGACGGCCGCCGGCGAGGAGAAGTCGCCGGTGGCGGCGGTGTAGTAGTAAGGCACAAAATTAAGGTACTTAATTAAGATAAAATATATTAATATGCAATGCAATATTTTACGCTCTCCCAGAGAAAGCTCAATTTCTTGGAAACTTTGGAAACAAATGGGCGGAATCGGGAGATCGAAATTATTGCATTTCCGGGGAATTGAAGGCTACTGGTCCGACCGCCTTTCTCTTTGTACCACACTTGTTCTGCTCCGCTGTATTTTTATTTTTTGTTTTTCTTTCTCATTTTCTGATTTGGTTATGAGCTTTGTATCGATCGTTACCTAATAACATTTTTATCCACGTCCAAAAGTTGCGTGTTTTGGTTTCATAAAACCATCGAGCGGAATATTGAATATGCCTATGGTTCCAGCCAACCTTTCAATTTTATGCCTCTGTTCGTTGTTTATTTGGTTTAGGGTTTGTGAAATGAGTTGGAGGAATTGTTGGGCAAACCCAGATTCCGTTTTTTCTTTGAAAAATAAAAACCAAGGATGAATAAGATACGTAGCAATGATTCCCTTGTGTGTATATAGATATATGTATATATACATATATCTATATATATTAGGTCGAATCGAAGCCATCATCATATTCATAGATAGATGAATGAGCCCTAATCAAGCAAATAAAATGACTTCATAGAACCAAATCCTCTCTGCAAATGAAAGCCCTAAAATTACGACCTAGAGTATGCCAAGGTCAACGTTAACCTCGCGTGTTACTGCACAATATTTTTATTTTTAGATAAAACCCAAGAATATAAAAATGAAAATTAATACAATCTCCACAAACTGATATACATAGAAAACATAAAAAAAAAAAAATTAAAAAATGGTAAGATCTAACTCTACTTTTTCGAATATGTCACTTCAGTCTTCTGATTAAAAGCTAATATACTCAGAACCAACAAAATCCCTAATTCCGACAGCTAAAAATAGAAGTTTACAAATCAATCGGTAGTCATTGTAAGTCCACGCCTAGGGGGATAATATAAGGTAATATTCAACTTTCACGGTTACATTATAATATTGTGACAACCTATCTAATGATACCATATGATCCAAACTTTACATGAAAGAAGGAACAGCGGAAATCAAAATCCCTAACAAAAACAGAATCGGGACGGACGTGAAAATGAAAAAAGGGAGAGAGAAGTCATTCTCCCTTTCAAAAAAAAAAAAGAGGAGAAAAATCAACACCGTGGGTGCATCCATCTACGAGTGAGGAGAGGACAGGGCGATCAAATCAGCTCCGAGGCGAGTGTCGGCGACCAGAGAAGATCTGCAGAGCGGACATGTGAAATTGAGATGATGGAGCCAACCTTCCAAGCAGCTCTTGTGGAAGACATGGCGGCAATCGAGCTTCCTGACGTGGTCTCCGTCCTTGAGACGGTAGAGACAGACGACGCAGATGTCATCCGCGGCGGGGATGGAGGATCGGTGGCGATAGGAGAAGACGCGGTTGAGGTGGAGCTGGTCGCAGAGGAGGACGAGATTGGCGAGTCCAGAGGAGGCGCCATCGACGGCGGGGAGAGGACGATTGCATCGCAGGCGGAGGAAGAAGGATCGGAGGTAGTTGAGGGAGGCGGCGATTAGAGCGAACAGCATTAGAGGGATTGAGTCGGAGGATACGTCGGAGATCTGACCTTGGAGCCCCATCGTCTTCAGCTTGTCGGCAGGCGCGTCGTCTGGTGAGAATTAGGGATTTGGCTCTGCCTCTCATCTTATTTAAGAACGAATAATGTAATGTAGAGAGATGATAAAGGACAGGTCACGTGTTGTGGGCCCACTCTTGGTCTGGTTAGCCTATCAGACTCGGCTCCGCCTTTTCTTTCACTCTTCGATCAAAACCTTTTTAACTTCCATTTACTTATTAACCGTAAATTGTCATGATATAATTAGAAGAAGAAAAAATTGATACCTTTTGTTTTTTAATTCTATTTCTATCTCTTTTTTTTGTTTATGATTGTATAGAATTAGACCTATATAATTCACATTTAATCTCACTGAACTCAATCAATTCAAATAATTTTGTCTTTAATTCAACGTAATCCATTTTTCCAAACTTTTACAAAAAAAATATATATATATATTTGGAAATGTTTTGAAAATACATTTTATCCAATATGCTACATATTATGATATGACATCCATGTATTTTGTTTAATAATAAATCAATCCAATATATCTATCACAATTTTCTACATTACGTTTTTTTTACTTATTTTTCTATAAATGTATTAAATCATTTAAATTATAACGCGGCCAATAAAAAACAAAAAAATAATATCTATTTATCTCGAAAATTTTGGATATATATACACACACACTCACATAATAAAGGTGTTATCATGGTTGTGTTTTTGTGTATTAGGATATTTTAATAATGACAACAAACATGCAATATGAAGAACAGTGATAATAACATAGATAAATTTAGTGGAATAGACTTAAACATCTATTGTTTGTCAATAAATTTTTGAAAAAAAAGAAGTAATGCATAATATTCTAAAAAACTTAAAAAAAAAGGACCTAGTTAAAACTAATATAATTCTTGTTGAGGTGAAAAGAATAATATAATTATTGACCAAAATAATAAAAAATTAGTGGGCGGTGTGATGTTTAATCTTAAGCGACAGGGAACCAACTAATTATTTGTTATAATGGTTTTTTGATGGAGATTTATTTTTATTAGAAGATTTTCCGCGATCTCCGCTTGTGTATTTATTGCTTAACCACGTCCCCTGCTTCAACAAAACAATGTTGGATAAAAAATTAACTTTGATTAAATGTTAATCTAATTATCATGAATATAAAATCCTTATCAACGATCAGCATATGGACAAAAAAGACTGGCTAAGTGCATACACACAGCATATTTGAAATAGCTACAGTTCATGTTATATTATTCGATTAATTGTTCGTGAAGAGAATTGATTCAAATAAGTTTAGTTGGATAAAAAAGAAAAGAAAGATTGGGGCTCCGCCGTCCAAAAAAGATATGCGAATCCACCGACCGATGAAAAAATGGAAGCAAGTTGGGCACAAGCGAACAAAACCACGTGGAATCTTTTTATTTAATGGACCCTAATTGCAATATTTTAGTCGTAACCCCAACGAGGGAAAGGAAGAGGTGTGTGAATATTATTGTCCTTAACATCATAATTAGCATGGTTGAATGAATATAACGCAACCACACTAATCATCTTTAAGAGTGCCAAATGGGCTCGGTTCGCTCCGCACAATTTCCGAACTCCGAAGGTACACTCTTGTACAAGTATATAAATATATGTGTGTGTATGCACTGGAGGGCTTGTGGTTTACTTGGACTGATCTTGCTATGCCTATATATATATATATAGATTCATAGATTAATGTTTTTCTACATTGGGCTTTTTATGGGTCACAAATCTTTTTTTTCTGTTTGGGTGTGTGCAATGCAATTTTTCATATGTATGAAAGGTAGTGCTAGCCAACCTGGTCCGAATGGACTCCAATGGCTGCCCACCTTGTTTGGCCCATGAACATATTGTATTCCTGAAACCAACCAAAATGAAAAAAACTTTCCATTACAAAACCCTAACTAATAAGAACAAATGTCTTTTGGGGCATTATTGTATCACTCAAGTTAAAACAGCCTCTATACAGTTTGGCTGAACATTGAATTGGGAGAATATATGCATCTATAAACTTGACAAACAAGTGAATGAATGGATGAGAGAGGATGTTGCAGAGACTGATACTGAAACTCCTTTGGTTGCCAAAGCTTTATCCACCTCTTTCCCAAGCCGCAAATGTTCGCCACGCGCGGCCACCTTCAATGGCACCCCCACGGTACGCGCACGTCAAGAGGAGGCCATATATCATTGCGCTCTATCAGCATCAGATAGGCTAAACCGGCGGCCAAAAATGTAACTTTGCTACGACCCTCCTCCATTTCGAGGAAAACCCTACGAGACCCGATTAGTTATGAGCATAACCTGTACGTGAACTGAGTGGAATTAGGGGCAGATGGAGACGAGACAGCCTAGGAAACATTTGGAAGCACTGCTGTCCAGATCCCACCTGCATCTGCAGAATATGTCGTAGATGCTGATCAAGTGGACCAACCAACGCATTCATTTTCTCTTCGTTTTTATTCGTTTGGTTTTATTTGACGATGATATATATATACATACAAAAGGTAAATGACTGCAAAAAGGGAGACTGCTTGTATCGATGTTTCGATTTCTCTCTCTCACATTCCCACGTTTTTTGCTTTAGAGACAAAAACTAAGTTCCATTTGCTTCTTCCATTGCATGAGCCGTGTGATGTCCGAAGGCAGCGAGAAGAATAATGGAATGGTTACTTGTATGGTGATCGTTTCATCATTTTTTTTTATATCAAATGACCTCGAACTACTACCATTTAAAAGTGTTGACTAGCTAAACCTCCGATTCGACACCAACCTTTGTATATGAGTATTAATTAACTTAGAAATTATATCTCTCTCTACAAAAAAAATATGGAACATCCGATCTTCAAGTGCTTTGCACCATCAAGTCGACCACTCGATCATCCATGCCGGGTTTTATCATTTTCTTTGGTTCTCAATGATGTTCCTTGTCCCATTTCTCGTTATAAATATATGTAGAATAGGAAAGTTTCCATCATCTAATCGACATATCAATATATATATATATATATATATATATATATATCTATCTGTAACTTAATTATATATATAATCCGACATACAAAATTTTCTTAAATGCAGTGTTTAATGAGGAGTGTTATCAGTAGGGGCGAATGTTTCGGGATTCATATCAGAATTTTAGCGGGTTTGTCGGTTATTCGGTATTTTAAAATTTGTACCAAATTAGTACCGTATATTATTCAGTTCGGTTCGGTTTCAGTTCCGATACGGTTCGATTTCGGTTTTTGTTAAAAAAGTTTAGATTTTCTTAAGAAAATTTCGGTTTTCCGAGAATTTTATAAAGTTCAGTTCGGTTCAGTTCAGTTTCGCAAATTCGGTTCTATACAAATCATACCGTTTGAGAATTGTGAACGGTACGATTCGAAAAAAACAGCAAAAATTTCAGTTCGATACGGTTCGGTTATCATGCACCCCTAGTTCTCCGTACAATTACAAAGGGAAATAATATATACATACGCCTTTGATGAAAAAAATAAGGCCCACATGATTTGAACTTGGTGGGTGCATGTGATTATCAAATGCACTTCATTAAACACTTGCATGTTATGTGATAAATATATATGTGGAATGTGGTCAGTCATATATATATACATGCACGCGCCGGCGCGTGGGTCTGATACACATATAAAATATAAAAGGGAGGGGGGATGGGCTGGGGTTTTGTTTTTTTAAATGTAATTGTGACAACTGTTGTCTTTATCTGCATGGTTTTTCCTCTTGCCCTCTGGCGTTAGCTGTCTATTGTTTCCATTCAAAACCCCCACTTTCGCACTTTCCTTTATAAATGCTTTTATTCTGTTCGCATATAACATAGAAATTATTCCTCAAATATGATCTTAAAAATCATTACACCTCATGTCTTGTCTTGTATTAATTTTAATCCATATTCATGTAATCTGTACGGCAGAGAGGACCAAAAAAGTCCGTTTTTCAATATATATCGTTTTACATTTTTTCACAGTTTAAAAATAAAATAAAATAAAAAAGTCACATATAATCTCATTACAAAATGTTTTCATTAATTATTATAAATTTAAATATTTTAAATCAAAAATAAAATTGGAAAAATTTAAAACAGATACAAATAATTTTTTAAGAAAAAGGCGGTCTGAAAATAAATGCTAGTCTTACCCTTTTTCTTTTTGTCGTTGAAAAAACAACCACTTTTTTTTGTATTGATTGTTCGTGGTTTTATTATATGCCTCTATCTTTGTGGTTTTGAGAATTTCTGTCCAATCATTTCCCGGAAAAAGGGTATTTTGACCGGACAAAGCCGGTTTGTTAATCATTTAAAATCTTTCTAACATCATTTAATGATCATTAAGGTTTGTTGCCAATTTATCCATTACTTTGATTTATTATCCATTTGGTCATTTCACATATTAAAATCTCATATTCTCAACACATTCAAATAAAACATTCGTGTCTTATAAATTTATGCAAACCCCAATTCTCCATATATTTTTTTTAATAATTAATTGTTACATGTAACTATTTTTATCATAAAGAAGTTAAGGTTTGGTTTTTACAAATAATGAAATCAAGATGTTGTAATGACAAATCTAAACCGCACATTATGTATTATACTTAAACATGTGTATATATATATGCATGTATGTATACATATTTGTGTACGTATATGTATGTATTATGTATATATGCAGTTATGAAGGTGAAAATTTATTTTAATTTATAAATAATATATTTTAAAAAAAATAAATTTCTGTAAAAAACAAAGAAAAAGAGACAAGGGCAGTTCAGGAAAGTGAAGAAAGGCGGTTTGGGGGGGGGGGGAACCCAAGTTTTGTTTAATTGTCCCTGAGATCAATTCGTGTCACAGGAAAAGAATAAGACATAGGCAGTAATTTTATGAGATAAAACATTTCATTCAGTACGCTATTTCGATGGAAAAACATACGAGTGGGTCGGTATAAGCCGACAGCCTAATATCATTGGCAAAGTACGTATTTTGCTGGCACTTGATAGTTGTATGGTAATCAATCAATGATCATGCCCATTCAGTAAGCATTTGTTGAAAACCGAGATTGATCTTTTATCCCGATGATTAAGGTAAAACGGACGCTAGGACAGTCTGCGTCATTTTCCATCGTGTAGAGCGTGTCTATAGGCATCTCTGCCTCTCCCCTCCCCCCTTTGACCGCCCTTCCTCTTCTCTCCCAGAACCATAAAAAGATCAAATTTTTACGATTCCGACCAGTGCCTTAGCTGCCATTCTCACTTCTTCTTCTTCCTGTCGTTTCCTCCCCTTCTCTGATTTCGATCCTTCCTTCCCTCCGTCTCTTGTTGTTTGCATCTGGTTCTACGCCATTGGAATTCGTACGTTCGAATATCACCGCGTTCTGATCAGTCTCTTGCTCGATTCTCGCCGATTCCTTCGCGTAGGGTTCTTCCTCCCTCTCCTTTGCTATGCTCTATTCGCTTTACTTCTAAACGGAGGCGAATGCTGTCTCCTTTCTTCGTTCACCGATTCAGGGCATCTCGAAATTTCATTTTTTTTTTAAATTGCTTTTCGTTTGTTTTTTCAAAGGAAGTTTTTGTTTTCTGGGCTTGCTTTATTTATCAGACGGACTCTTCATTGTCTGTACATCGTACGTCCTGTCTGTGTTCAGTCTCTGTCTGGTTGTTTCGCCGTGTGATTTCCTGGGAACTGGTGCTAACCGAGTAATAGAATAAACGACTTCATTTCGTGTATCTGCTTAATTTCGTTTAAGTTGTTTGAAGTGGGGATTGATGGGCTTGTCCTTTTCGTACTCACTTTGTATTGTCTCGTTTCTGGAATCCATGTATTTGGGGGTGTATCAGTCAGAAGGGCGTTAATTATCTGTGTGCAGATCGATTTGGCAAAAATTTCAATTTTTTGGCGTAAACTGAAAGCTGGTAGGCCATGGAGGCCAATGGTCACAGAAGATCAGAGAGGAGAAAGGGACATTTCGGGAGAGAAAATGGCGATATCACGCTCGAGGATGGTCTCGATCCATGGACTGCATGGGCTTACAAACCTCGTACCATCTCACTATTACTTGTTGGAGCATGTTTCCTGATGTGAGTTATCTGAATCAATTCCTTCAGGACGATGATTCTTGTTTCTGTCTTTTTGATCCTCTTTACGCCTTTTCCTTTAATTGGGTTTGTCTCTTTAGTTGGGCAAGTGGAGCTCTTGATCCTGAGAGCACTACCTCTGATGATCTGGTCACATCTGTGAAAAGGTGTGAATGTATTTGTTTTCAAGATCTGCTTCTCATAGCCATAGATTCAACAAATGACATTAATTTCACCATTTCTTTGCAGAGGGGTGTGGGCTATGATTGCAGTCTTTCTCGCCTATTGCTTGCTCCAGGCCCCATCATCGTGAGCTCACTCCATATTAGCGTATCTCTGCTCTTGTTTTAAAGTTTTTTCCTTTTGATAATCTCTTCTTCTTATCTGTTGTTTACATGGACATACACCCTTTTTGTCATAGTTCTTATGTGTGCTTTGCTTCTTGGTTCTGAAGCAGTGTTCTAATCCGGCCGCATCCCGCAATTTGGCGCTTAGTTCATGGAATGGCTGTTATTTACCTGGTGGCGCTCACGTTTTTGCTCTTTCAGGTTCACCATCTCTTCTCTTGCAGCACCATTGTAATTCATATAACTCTGTTTAAGTGAACAATCGTTAATGGTTGTTGACTTCTTCTCTATCCCAGAAACGCGATGACGCGAGGCAATTTATGAAGTTTCTCCACCATGACCTTGGAATCGGTACTACTTACCTAACCGAAAATCTATTTATCCCGACTTCTCTTTTCATGAGTATTCCTATATGAGTTTTCACGTATCGCAGAACTTCCCGAAAGATCATACGGTGCTGATTGCCGTGTTTACTTGCCTGATCAACCATCAAACAGGTTTAAGAATCTTTATGTATGGTTCTTCTTAACAACTCCTTTTTCTTCCTTTGTTTTGTTTCACATTGTGCTTAGCCAGCCATGTTCATCATCATCCGAAGACTTGCTTTTTGATTTTGGTTAAAACTTTGCAGGACACCATTTTTGACGAGTTTGTGTTGGCTCATATCTTTGGATGGTGGGGAAAAGCTATTCTGTTACGTAACCAGCCTCTTCTGTGGGTGCTTTCCATTGGATTTGAGTTATTGGAGGTTACCCTTTTTCGTCACCGTCTCCTTAATTTTTTCTCCCCGACTCATATATCGATGAATAGGCTCCTCATATGCCAATGTTGGTGACTGATCTTTTCATGTGTATCCCCATATTCTCCAGTTCACATTTCGGCACATGTTACCGAATTTCAACGAGTGCTGGTGGGACAGCATTGTTCTTGATATTTTGATATGCAATTGGTTTGGTAAGCCACCTTTATTCTCCATTTATAGGTCGGGCCGGGTAATGGTCGTATATAATATGTTGTGTGCGTGGTGTAGGTATCTGGGCAGGAATGAACATACGAGTGGGTCGGTATAAGCCGACAGCCTAATATCATTGGCAAAGTACGTATTTTGCTGGCACTTGATAGTTGTATGGTAATCAATCAATGATCATGCCCATTCAGTAAGCATTTGTTGAAAACCGAGATTGATCTTTTATCCCGATGATTAAGGTAAAACGGACGCTAGGACAGTTCACACCGGCACATTGGGACAAAGACGAGTGGCATCCATTGCAGGGACCGTGGCGTTTTGTTCAAGTTCTCAGTCTCTGCATTGTCTTTCTGACAGTGGAGCTTAACACATTCTTCCTTAAGTTTTGCCTTTGGATCCCCCCTCGGAACCCGGTGATCATCTACAGGTTGATATTATGGTGGCTGATTGCAATACCGACGACACGGGAGTACAATTCATATCTCCAAGACCGGTATGGTCGGGCTTTCTTTATTATTATTATTATTTTTTTCGAAAACTTGAATTCGGTATGTGGGTTGATGAAGAAGGTTCCTTTTGCCAGGAAACCTGTAAAAAAGGTTGGATCTTTCTGCTGGCTGTCGCTGGCAATATGCATAGTGGAGCTTCTCATCTGCATCAAATTCGGACATGGTAGGGTATGGTTTTGTGATAAAAAAACACTTTTTTTTTTGGGATCTTACTTACCATCAGATGTCTGCTGCTTCCTGATGGGACAGGATTGTACCCGAAGCAAATGTCTGTAAGTTTGGCGAGCTTCTGGGCATGTGCTGGAGTCGGACTTGTGGCATTTTTGATTGCTTGGTCGTGGAAAATTCACACCACTCTCGACAGGAAGAGACGTTGATTTCCTTTTTTTTTTTTTTTTAAATTATAAAAAACAAAACAATCCTCTCCTTTTTTCCTACTTGTAGATAGAGCAGAAGATGATTTGAACATGTAAATGCATTTTTTTCTCTAGGGATAGTGTTTTTTTTTTCCTTCACATTTTCATATTTCAAGAGTTTTGATCAATTCTTTCATGGTTTTAGGAAGACGGAGAAAGAGATAAAATTGCCATTTTATTGCTATTTTGTCTCTTGTTTGATTATGTATTTTTTGCGATTATTTTGTTTGTGATATTACTATACAGCCCAGTTATCTTCTCTTTCCAAACAATATCATCTTTCATGTTATGCTCTAGTCATTTGTTGTTACCGTTCAGTTTGAGCAGTAACTACGAGACTGTAATTTCTACAAATTAACGAGCGGTAAAATGAAACTCAGAGCAAGAATGTCACAACATTCACACCTCAGCTCAAATAAAGAATCCTCACCTACGAATTTGCAACAGAAAATCATCAATTTGAGGAACGTAACTGCTTAAAGACAGGATTGTTCCACCTAGTCGCTCTCATTCATGAATTCCCTGTTCAATTTCAATTTCCACAGTCTGATTCTCCACTCCATCATCTATCTTGATTTGCCCATTTGAATGTTCATTTTCTTCCTTCAGATGCTGAGTCTGTGCCAAATGATCCATTGCAGTCAGTGATTATGATGTCTTTTCTTATCAGAATCAGACACTGAGTCGACGCTATAATTATGATGTCTTCTCCCGACCTGCCTGTCATCTTCTTCACTTGACGACGCTGATGCACTGTTTTCTCCCCTGCCGGGCCTTTCATGGTGATGCCTTCTGTTTTTACTTCTCCCATTATGCTTGCTCCCTGGCATGTCTACATCACCCGAGACTGAATGTCGCCTGTATCTGTGACGCTTTTTCACTTCCTCCTCATCACCATCACTACTGGAATCTGACCTAAACCAATGCCGACTAGCCCTTCTGTGACGCCCCTCCTCCTTCCTTCTACGCTCTTTCTCTGATCCACTTTCATCCTCATTGCTGCCGTCATCACTCAGACTTGGGGTCCTTCTCTTGTCTCTCCTGGAAATCTTCTCCTTCTTCCGA